GATGCTACTTTTAATGTCAACTGTCAAGTAGAACCTCCTTATTCACAAATAACTATTTCTCCTATGTGATAATGGAAAAAAAGAAGGAAACAATAAAACTTAGAAGCATAATATATCTCTAGATATAGATTTCTCTCATTTAATTATAATTAATTGATATGTTTTTTCACGTCATAAAATTACTTAATTGTAATAAATTAATATGATTTGATATCAACGATTGATGCCAATAAATTTTTTACTTATAAATTGTTACTAAAAGTTATGAGTAATAGAGTACGTGGCACTACTTAAGAAGTTCAACGGTAGAGTAGGGCCACGGGAGTCCTCGACAAACATCCAATAATTAAGACATGCTTTTGTTGTACCTAAAATGTCTCTAAGTCTGGACATAGAGTTGAGCTAAGTTGAATTTAATTGAATTTACTAGCCAAAATTAAGGTAATTAAATTCATTTTCTCTCACCAAAATCTCTATTTGTCCACATGAACACCAAAAATAATTAAGTGATTAGTCAATCGTTTCTTCTTTGTTTTTATTTCAATTTTCAGTTTGGAGATTTTGTCGGTGAAAAAAAATAGGGAGAGGGATAGGGCAAGGTAGTTTTTTCTACTTGGTAATCTCTTTTTAATTGCTATCGGTCAATTGTTAATCAGGAATACAAATTAAATGAATCACATCATTAATTATTAGTTCAATCTATTTTGTCGGTTTTAATTAATTTTATCCAAACAAAGACGATATGAAATTGTCAATAACTTTTTCTACAGTCTCTTACTGAGTTTCCGTCCCTTCCTTGAATTGTGCCTCCCTATTCTTTGTTTTAACCTTTGTAAAGTATTTAAAATTTAGTTTATCCATAATAGCTAAAATATTCTACAAGTTCAATATAGTTTTACCAACTTTAACATATTGCGTACTATTTTTTCCAAAGGATTCGTACTTAGTATAAACATTATATAAAAATTAGTTTACTTTGTTGGTAAATAGAACTTAGACTCAATTGTTTTTAGAGCTAATTAATCAAAAAAAGAAAAAGAAAATGGAAGCAAAATACACGACAATAAGGCAGAAGTGCAAACACGTAAATTTTAGCATTCGGTACATTATTTAAGCTGCAAATTAAAATCTAATGACGCCACAATTTAATTATTGACCTTTGGTTGTACTTTAAACAAACTCTGCCTTTTGAGAAAAGGGGATCCGAGGAAAGACTATATAAGAAAATAGAGAAAGAGAAAGAAGAAAAAAGAAATGTAAAACAATTTGGACCGGGTGAAATACATTGAACATGTAATGATAAGGTCACTTCAACCCAAATATTTAATGGAAAATGGAGTTTTCTCCATTTGAAAATTAATTTTATGCCATTTGGCAATAGTTTTTTGTCATGTTTTTTTGTTAATATTTAGCTTTCAAGAAATGTATTCCGTAGAAATCCCATAAAAAAGAATCATTCAAGTCGTCATCCATTTTAGTATTCAACTATATTTTTATGTGTATTAGGTCAGATCAATTGAATGGTTTAATTTGTTCAATAACTCACAAAAAAAAAAAAAAAAAAAGAAGAAGAAGAAGAAGCAAACAGAGCCCATTAGTTAAAGAGTAAAGAGTATGTGCTCAAACAATGGTAAATCATCGTTTATTTTAAGAAAATATTTTTGAACATCAATTGCGATAAATGATATGAACCCTATTAGGTTTTTGAAATGGTTTTGAACATAACTTTTGCAAAGTAATATTATTTGAAAACTAAACATGCATGCATGTTAGTTCTTAGCTGGTTTTGGAAAGGTTTTCTTAACAGCAAACACAATTATTAGTACAAGCTAGAGGTAAAATATAACATGCAAACCAATTGATTTTACCAATTTCCTGTTGTTTATTTATTGCGAAAGATCGTGGCTTAACTAGCACACAATCATACAAAGTAATTAGAGAAGAAAAAATAATGCGGTTCAGTAAGCCTAGTTTTAGGGGCATAAGCAAAGAAAGTTTTCCACTATAAATAAAAAAGGAGCACAATATAATAAATTCCAAACTACTGACCCATGTATAGAGAACCCAACTAATCGCAAGCCTAGCTATAAGGAAAAAGTTTTCTAATCCTACAAGGACAATAAATTTTTTCTTTTTCAAATCTATTAAAACAATAGGTTTTCTAAACGTATAGGAATAATAAATTTCTTGCAATTATAAGTCATAGCAGATGCAGCTCTTCGGCAACATTTTCATTTTAATTCAAGATTTTCAACACGAAGCACATGTATAGATATTTAAAACTCGATAAAATTTTAACAAATATTAAATATAAATTCATAATTTTGAAAGTACAATAATTTTAATTTAGACATTAAAGGATTAACACATCAAATTTAAACTCTTGAATTTGCCTCTAATTATAAGTGGATACATAAACTCAAGTCAATTGATGTAATCTGCAGATATCATTGTATACAACTTTCAAATGCATATGCGGATACGTATCTACTACTTATGTACATGCCGCATATGCATTTGAAAACTGTGTACCTTGAGGCGGAGCCAAAATTTCAATTTTATAGATTCTTGATTTAAATGACGACAACTTCAAGTGCTAATAATCCTGTTATAAATTTTGATATTTATATATATTTTAATAAATTTCTTAACACAAATATATTGTTTGATCAAAAACTGCTAAATTCAACCGAACTCGTAATTGGACTTCTAGCTCCTCCCCAGTGTAACCATGTGTATGTTTGAGTCAACACAAAGATTGTAGATATGGCCATATTAATTTATTGTCAAAAGAGTGCATCTGTACCTGTTCACAGCCCATGCTAACCCTAATAAATGTTTAAATGAGAATCTAGTTGTTTTCTAACTAATCAACAAAATAATAATAAAACTATTAAGTTGAAATCAAGCAATTATTCCAAATTAAGTATAGATATCCCTTACACGTGGTGATCAAGAATAAGAGAACGTACGTAGTGTACTGTTTCTCGTGGAGAGCTGATTAATTAATTTTATCTTCGCAATTAACAGTTAGAGACTGCGAAAAATAAATTATTTCTATGTTTAAAGGACTAACAAATGTACATTACACAATGGTTTTGACGGAAATTAATGTTTATAATATCTACTTGGTATTTAGTTGACTTGATAAAATACTAGCAAGTTGTACCTATATACTGTACACGTTCAACTCCTACTGAGCTTGATGTTGATTATTATATGTTTAATTTGATTTAATTATCAAATTGGTACTGCTCTTAGCTGGATATATATACTAATAAAATGCGCATCATGCAAAATATTTACTTGTGAATTCATCTGCATCGATAGTACTGTTTTCTAACTTTGAAATAAACATTTTCTTTTTAATATTCTTGGTTTTGACTAGCCAAACTTTAATCTAAACTACAGCTTCTATTCTAGAAATATTTGGTTTAAATTAATTAATAAATATAACTCATTTTATGTTTAATCTTTATGCATTAAGTAGATGAGAATTATCAACTAATATTTTTGATTTATAAATTTTTTATCTGTAGATAAGAATTGATCAGAAGTTAATTACTAGTTGCAAAATAATTCAAAGTCATTTCGACAAAATTAAATTAACATTAAATAGAACAAAAAGATATGACAAGGCCTGGAAATAGAGTTTTGACATATTAGCGAGTACAAAATAAGTCAGGAATTATTAATAACAAGCTTATAATCCCAGGATAACCTTGGCTTCGAACCAAACGACCCCTAAAGGCACTTAGGGGTCAGGTATCCGAACATTGTTGTACGAAGGTTAAAATTCTTCTCTTTTAATCATAATGTTGAGTTCGAGTTCTAAAACTGAAGAATTTTTCAATAAAACGCTCTTTATTATGAATTTATCCAACATTAATATAAGGATATAATTTACTAACTTTGAAGTATAGTTGAAGAATATTTTTGGCCAAAACCTCATATAATTCACATCAAACAAAGACCGTAAAGTAAAATAAAAGGGAAAAAAAATGAAAAAGAACAAATACGGCTCCACCTATGTACCTTGAAGGGGTGGGTGGGGTTAATGTGGGACCGGAATCCCACTGCTCTTGAGGAATCATTGGATCCAACTTTCGGACTCTTGAAATCAGAAAAAAGCCGAAGTAGCACATTATCAATAATTTTTTATAATAATAAAATAATTATTTATGTAATATGTATGTGCACTTTAATTTGTAATTAGTGTCTTTTGAATGAACTTTTATGTTTTAATTATAATTAATTAATATATCTCAAATTATAATCTTATGCTGATTATACTATATATTGGTACATACGAACGTTTATTATGAATACAATAATTAATCTACACACCAAATCCGAATACATTTTTCATGACCTACGCAACACTAAAAAATACTTATATTCATTATATGTACTAATGAATATAATTACATAAAAATATTTTAACTTTAAGCTCCCATTTTATACTTGATGACATTTATATATTTTTATATATAAAAATATTTTAACTTTAAATTCTCATTTTATACTTGATGCATTTTCTTATAATTATACAATTGCATAACATATTTAAGAACACAAATTCTAAAAGACGTTTTTTTAACTTTATGCATGATTATAACTTTATATATTTTTGTATATAAAAATATTTTAACTGAAAGTTCCCATTTTATACTTGATGATATTTTTTTTATAATTATATAAATGCATAATATATTTAAGACCACAAGTTCTAAAAGATATTTTTTTGTTTCCTCGAATTTTTTTCAACTTAATCGAACATATTAAGGTGTATAATCATTTCATATACCCCCTTCGTATCAGTCTATGTGATATAGTAAAAATTTAAAGGTAAATTATTTGTAAATATAAAAATATATAATTTTTGTAAACAGGCTTAAAGTTAAATTAGTACTACTAGTTTGGATAAATCTTTTTCACCCACTAGTGGGGGGTGGGGCTCTTAGCGCCTTTATTTATACACCAATTACATACCCTCACTTACTCTGAATTCTCTAAAGTCATTTCACGCTTTCCCCAAAGCCATCATCTCTCTCTCTCTCTCTCTCTCTCTCTCTCTCTCTCTCTCTGCTCGTTGTTCTTCGGGTGCAACACAACAGTGAGATTATTACTGCCGGAAAATGAGCTCCGTAACATTTTTCGTCTCTTGAAGCTTTGATCGATTCATTTCATTCCTTACTTTCTTAATTGCGGAAGGAGTTGAATTCGAAGTGTTGCAGTTATGGACGCTAAACAATTCGAAGTTTACAAAAGTTCTTTCCTTTGAAGCCGAGAGCTGCCCTTTTTCATCATAACAGTTTGTGAGTTTTCACTTTCCTTATATTCCTCTCCCTTTTGTAATAATCAAATGTTTTTTTTTTTTGAAAAAAAATGCACTGACGGTGTAAATAGATAAGTATTTACAGAATCAGATCGCTACTTAATGTATAATTACAAGTAAATCTTCTGATAAACATTAATTGATAACATGATAAAAATAGTAATAACCTTCTATAATAGGTTAAAATTCACTGATAGTGTTAAAAAATTCGTTATACTATTAGTGTATATGCATAAATCCTTTTGTTTAAATATTTTGTATCTATTTTGTTAGAGTAGAAGTTTTCATTCGTGTGCTGCAATTGTATACTATCATTTTGATTGAAACGAAGTAGGAATTTGCACAATATTTTGAGTTGAAGTTAAAAAAAAAAAATAATTGTTGTTGAGGTTGAAAAAAAATTGTGGATGAAGTTGTGCTTGGACTTGAAGTTCAAAATATTTATATGAAAGTTGAATAATTAAGTGTAGATACCAGTATTTTCACTTAAAAGCATCATTTTGTAAAAGATAAATCAGGTCATTTATAGGTAATTACTGGTAAATCCCTTGATAAGCTTTAATTTGTAATCTGGTAAAAATTGTAACTAACCTACAGTCACAGGGTAAGTTCATTGAAATTTTTTATGCTGTAAGTGTATATAACTTAATCCTATATTAATGTTTTCACATGAAATTCAAATAGTGAAGTATTTGCAAATTCTGACTTATGTTCAATTATTCTATTTTGCCTTAAAATTGCTCCAAATATTAAAGAGTCTGCTGTATCTCTTTAACAGCTTAAATTTTACAAGTTAGTCCGAATTAAATTCTAGAACAATTAGTATATATTCATTAAGGTGCACCGATTTAGTGCAAAATGAGAGAAAGATAGAACTTTAGAAGTGCTTTCATGTTTTTTACTTGGTCTAAGTAGGATACAAATTCCAAGAAATTGAAAAAAAGTATTTTCTTTAGACAAAATTGAGTAAATTTTTTGCTTTGGTTTTTAGTGGTAGATTGTGATTTTCCTTAGTATCGATCATTGCAAGTCAATTCTTGTTTTTGATTTAGTCCAAAATAAAGTATGTGCAACAAGCTAAATGCCTTTCTTAATCTTTTTTTATTTTTATGTAACATTGGGATGTAAATAAGGTACAATTGTACATGAGTTTTTGTATTTTATTACCTCCTTAAGTTTTGTACAACTTCTGGATGCTTTGTTAATAAAATATCATTGCTTCATCCAACAAAAAAGGTGCAGAATTGTTACAAATCAACTTCGAAACTTGATATCTTCAATTAAACTGGAATCTACTTTTTCTGAACAAATGTACTAATATCTTTAACCTCCAGACATTAATTCTTTTACAGTCCAAAACAATTTGTCTGTTCTCTATAAATCAATGGGAACAAACTAGTAGATTGAAATATTGACTGTATCACAGTTGTTGACCAGAAATAGTTCTGAAGAAAGATATGCCTTAGTTGTTATAATCAATTATGCCTCCCTAAAGAGAAAATTGTTATTGTATATTTAACTTTTTGACTTTATGTATTTTGATTATCTGGAGGATTTGTCATAATCATGTAAATTTTATCCTTACAGTTTATCCTGTGCCTCTGGCTGTGAGTTTTGGCTTCTCTCTTGATTGTTTAGTGGAAGCACCAAGTCGCTCTGGATAGGATTGGAGGCTTCTTCCCTGCTTTTCTTGTCCTTTGATCAGCATTTACTGCATTATTTGCATCTCTGTTGGTGTTGAAGTGATGGACGCGTTCTCAGCCATGCTTTCTTCTTAATTTCTAGCTTAAAATCCATTTGTTATGCCCTTTGCATCAACTTGTTTTTTGATAGTTGGAGAGATCATCAAAAGAATGGATATGTTGCTTTTGACTTCAACCGAGCCCCCAATGAAGCGCAGAGCTGGTTTGTTTATAGTTCAGGCTGGACGAGGATCATATCGTGGAAGTTAGTCAGCGATTTGATGGTAAATTGTGTTGCTATTATCTGAATTTTTGGAGCTTTTGATTTATTATTTAGAATAAAGAAGAATGAGAGCTGCTTCCTTGAGGCATTTCTTGCAAAGTCTCTGCTCCAAACCTCCATGGAACTACGCAGTGTTCTGGAAGCTTCAGCACGAGTACGCTACGTAAGTTGTTTCTTGGCCTATTCCAGTGTGACAGCTCAGTTTCCTATCTTGTAAAACAAGAACAGAAAAAAGACAAAAAAAGAAGTATATTTCCGAGGAATCTGAATTATTTTCTGGTCGGCAAGCCTATGTTTCTCTAGCCAGCTTACTTGATTTGGATCGTATGAAATTCCAATGGAAGAAAATACAAATGCTATACACCTTTTTGACATCCATCTTCTTGTATATGCAACGACTTACTCTCATTCTATGTCTTTTGCAGCCCACAGTATGGGCGTCTCTCTGTATTTGTTTAATATTTGTCTTATTTGTCTTTCTACATATTGTTTTCCCTTTGTATCGATACATTGGAATTCCTTTTGCCCTAAACTGAATTAAAAATGTATTGCATTAGCAGCATTTCACTAGAGCCGCTTTTTGTTTTTTCGAGGACTTGGTCTTAGGTGGTTTGTAATCTGTGTACATGCGCTGAATGGTTGAGACTGGTCGCTCACTTACATTGGCTCGACTTATTTTGGCAGGATTTTAACATGGGAAGATGGATATCTGGACATTCCTTGTGCTAGAGAACCTTACAGAAGTCTAATAGGCAATTATTACAGCAAAACCTTGAATGAGTTATTCCCAAACTGTGGATCAAGATCGCATAATGGAAATTTGGGTGAACATCCAATTGGCTTAGCCATGGCTGAGATGTCAAGTACTTATCACGTTGCAGGAAAAGGGTAAATCATTGATTTCTATCTCTTTCTGGCTTCTGTTATTTCTTGAATTTGTCATAGTAGCATAATTAGGCATTCATAAAAATTGACTTTAGCACGCTAACATTTTCACTAGATGTTGTGGGCTGGAGGTAAACGATTCAGGCCATAGATATTGTCCTCCAGTTCTTCATAGTGTCACTCTAAGACTGTAAAATTTCTCTGGGGGAGCTACTTCTCTGAAAGAGCATAATCCCATAAAGTTGTGTTGGCCATTTCATCATCATGTAAATGTGGTTTCTTTAGCTTTATTCTTTGTTCTGTTCGAACAAAACGCGTAGCCAATTCCACGTGTCTTATCAAAAGTCCCTTTTTCTTCTAACTTTCGATCTTTCCATTCATTCCTTGTCTGTCCTTCTTCCCCGATTCTTCTCATTCTACCAATGAATTCTCTATAATAATTTGTAAATTTAGATCAGCTAATTTTCCTCGGATAGCACCTGTGCCAGTGGAGATTTCTCGATTGCAAAATATATCAAAATCTTGCTTTTCTTGGTGATGGCAAGTGAGTGTATGCCAAAGGGAGTCACAAATTGTTGAATGTATTGTAGTGATACTGTTGAATAAATTATCAAGTGGATAAACACAGAAAACTAGCTCCTTGTAAAAAAAAGGGGAAAAAAAGTGACTGACTTAGCTTCTCCTAAGAAACTGCTAATGTTTGTGATTAAGAAGATATTTGTGAATTATCGAGTGTGCACCATCTTAAATAAGGTAATCCCATGCTTGTTGGAGGGAAAACAGAAAGAAGGGTCTAGCCAATAACCATGATCTCTGTCAGAAGCAAATGTGTTACCATTTATCTCTTATAGACAGTACAAGAATTTTCTGGTGCTTGAAGCCTGTTTTATGGAAAGATCAGAGTGGATATAACTACGAAATAACCGTCGCACACATTTCAGATCCGATATGCCACCACATTGGACGAGTGAAATTTATACCGATCTGTGAATTTCTGCAATGAAAAACCAACATTTTCTCCTATTCTTGATGGTTGTTTAAGCTACCACTTACATAGTTTACCTGGCTTACTCCTAGATGTATGGTCAAGTTTGGATCCCCATTGCATGGTTATCATCTTTATACTTGACCATGATCCTGATAAGCTGAGAGCTACTTTTTGTAGTCCATCTCCTTTGCTTGTATGAGACCAAGAGACAACTAAATTGTTTTTATTATATATGTCTTTTGTTGAAAATGAAACAGGGTGGTTGGTGAAGTGGCATCTTTGTGCATCCCACACTGGATTTCTTCCGACAGTATAGCACCTGCAGAGCTCAGCTTTGGTTCTGTTGCTGAGGTATATATTCAGTTTGACATTTTCGCTTCTGGACAATGTAGTTCATTGATTAACTTTTTTGTCCTTTTCTCAATTGAGAGGAGCCCATGTTACACTTAAAACACTCTGTTAATGAGGCCAAACTTGATGTAGCTTTATGAAATGCTGTTAATTTTCTGAACCCCCCCCC